CTCGGTTTTATTCTTTTGGATGAGTCAATTTGGTCTTTGTGCTAGTTTCAGTTTTTGGTCTGAGATTTGGTTTGGTTTTATGTGAAATTGAGTTCAGTTTTATGTAAGAACTATCTTGATTCAATTCCCTATTCTTAGTTGGGTTGTATTCAAAATATTATTCTATCTGCTAGCCCTTTTGTTGGGGCTCGGTTTGACTTATTTTGGCCGGAAATTTGGAGTTACAGTTTTGCCTTATGATTGGGAGTTTGGGTCTTAGTTTTTGCTCTCTGTTGGGATTTGATTTTGGTTCCTGCTTCTTGCTGGAACTCGGTTCTGGTTCTTACTCTCTGTTGGAACTCGGTTTCGGTTTTCCTTACTGTCCTTTATTCGAATGTCTGCTGGAGGTCAATTTTTTTTATAGTTTGAAAATACATTTGAGGCTCAATTTTGGTTTCCTTTGCTGCCTTAATTAACAAACGTATTGGAAATTATATTTTCAAGCTATTGAGAATTTATTTGGGGTTCGGTTTCAATTCCTGGACTCTGTATTGGATTTGGTTTAAATTCCTGCTCCTTGTAGAATTTGATTCTGATTCCCACTCTTTGTTGGGGTTCAGTTTCGGCTCTTACTCTCTATTGGAACTTGGTTTGATTTTTTTTTGTTTTCCCTTGTTTGAATATATGTTGGGGATCCTTTTACACGTGTTTGGGGTCTGTTTCTATGCTTCTTGATACCCCTATTCGAGTGCATATTTGGAGATTATTTTGGTTTAGAATAGAAGCTTGGGGCTGCGGTTATTTTTGCTCCTCTTGCTGCCTTACTCGAATACATATCAGAAATCATTTTTATTTTGAAAACTACTTTAATATCTCAAATTTGTTATCATTGCTCTTATTTGAAAATACATTGGAGTTAATTGACGTTTTGGATGGCTACTTTAGTATCTCGAATAATGGCTCAATTTCATCCCTTTTATTGGGCTCGGGTTTGTTCCTTGATGACTCGGTTTGGTCTCCCTTCGTGGCTTGGTTTTAGCTTGGTAATGGCCTATTCTTTTTGGTCATTTGCTGGATTTGATTTAATTCCCATGAGGAGATTCAATTATATTAGGAGATTCAATTATATTCAATTATATTTCCAGTGATTCTCCTTATTTGAACTTCGACATTGGAGATCATATTTATGGTTTGAGGAGGATTTGTGAAGCTCGGTTTTGCTCTCTTTGCTCCTCTTTGTTTAAATATTTGATGGAAATTATTTTGAATGACTTGAGAAGTATTTGTGGGGCTCGGTTTTGCTCTCTTTGCTCCTCTTTGTTTAAATATTTGATGGAAATTATTTTGAGTGATTTGAGAAGTATTTGTGGGGCTCGGTTTGCTCTCTTTGCTTCTCTTTGTTCAAATATGTGATGGAAATCATTTTTATGCTTTGAGTAGTCAGTGTTGGTAGCTCGGTTTTACTTCTTGCTGCCCCTTTATTCGAGTATGAATATTAAAAATGTTTTGATACTTTGAGTAGTTGTATGGGGGTTGGGTTTTTGCTCTCTTTGCTTCCTTTGTCTAAATACATGTTGAAAACCACTTTTATTACTTGAGACTCATGTGGGGGCTCGGTTTACGCCTCCTTTATTTCCCTTATTCAAACACCTGCTGGAATTTATTTTATGGCTTGGAAACATATACTTGGTGCTCGATTTATTTCCCCTTATTCAGACACTTGATGGAAATTACTTTTATGGTTCGAATGCATATATTTGAGGCTCGGTTTTGATGTTTCTTGCTATTTCCCTTGTTCAAATACTTACTGGAACTCATTTTTATGATTTGAGATATACATCTGAGACCCGAATTTTGTCCCTTTTGCTGCCCTTCGTTCGAGAATATATTGAAAATCATCTTTTAACTTTGAGATTTAATATTAACAAAAAATGCTATAATCTTTATTTTCACTTGGAAATTTTAATGGGATATGCAATAATCATATGCACAATTTCACAATTTGAGCTTAAAGGTGAGATGTAGATGCTATAGAAATGCTTAAATAAATACCTCTCTCATTCTTTTCTTGATATGGGATGTACAAAATCTTGTTGGACGAGAATATGAAATATTGAGGTGGCCTATTATTTCGAGACGAGGGGTAACAGACGATGATGCAAAGAACCATTTGACAGCTTAGTTTATAGCTGAAATATAAAATCGATATTCAATTAGTGCGATGCCCTTTCACCCCTAGATCGTCAACAACTCTAACCCTTTTTCAAAAGGTTTAAGAATCGGTAGCCACAAAAAGAATAGATACTACAAACACCCCACAGATACTACAATCGCAAAAGAACAGATACGACACTACACCGTAGACACCATATTCTGACTAATATATGCATACATTGGATATAACCTACACGTACATTTCATACATCACATAGTACATCTTGCACACCACATACAGATACATCACATATCTTTATTTGATGGATCTAAATATCATCATATCACCTTTTTATACTGCAGACATTATATCCACACACTACACCCTGCACGACAGATATTACATATCATGTATAGATACTACGGGTTTTACACAGATATTACACTTGCACAAGGAATAGATACTGCACTCATACACACTATACAGTTCACACACTACGCCCTGCACAACAGATACTACATTTCACATATGCATGCATTGTATGTTGATAAGTTCAGATACTATATTTCATGTATAGGTGCACCACACTTTGATGAGTTCAGATACTACTCTATTCACATATTCATTAAACGACAAGGGCTAAGACTATCTGATTATAGGGGTGATTCGTTGGTGACCTCTAGTTGATGCCTCTAGCCTCTAGTTGATGTTGATAGGTTGACCTCGATATATCAGTTGTTTGTGGGATCGAGATAAAGAGAAAATGGGTCTAGTCTGAGTCTATCCCCAAATTAAAATTTAATATCCCATCTTGCGATTTTCATATGCTCATCATTTAACTTTTCTTTTATAACCTGCAAATGTTTACCTAACTCATTTATATCATATAATTGCAATCTATTTTTGAAGCTTTAGCAAACGCTTTTATTTATTTAATTTCCGTACTTTATTTTTTGCATATTTCTTTTTATTTTGTACTGTACTGTACTTCGCTACATGTCTCATGCATTTTCTTACCACATCTTACAGCATAGTCTCTTTGTCAGTTCTTTGTTGTACTGTATACATTTACCAGTATTCATGCTTTAGTTGCTACCTTTCTAGTACGTTTGTGCAATCCCCTAGGATAGGCCGTTCGAGGCATGGTTTTTTTTTTTATCATTCTCTCTTCTCTCTCTCCTCTTCTCGGAACGAGACGACGACGTGGTCGGTTGACGATTCATCTCCGGACAACGGTCAAGACAACTACCAAAGACGGAAGGATGAGCTTATGTAGAACCTCGATAGATTTAAATAACATACCTATAGGACGTTGAGGTTGTTTGTTTGGTACGACGTAAATCCTCACATTATCTTTTAGGACTTTCTACGATTTTATATCGTACAATATAAGTCCTAAACTTTTTAGGATTCTGAGGTGGTCGTTCGGTACGACATAAATCCTCACATTTACTCGGGCTATTTGCATATACATACAGATACAAGTCCCGAACATCTAAATAATTTGCAGGACTGAAACATCAAATAATTTCTCTTTCAAAGACGTAAAGTCAAACCGTAGATTAATTTGAGATGTCACTGAATATTATTCAGTATCTTCAACATCTCCTACTTTTCACTCCTTAGGATTCTGAAAATAATTGTTCTTATTTGAACCTATCCCATTTGAGTTTTCCTATGAACAATCGTGGAAACTTGAACGTTGAATTCTTGAAGACGAAACCTATGATCATTATTGAGAGTTTTCTTAGGTGACTTCGGTTGTCTAAGATGTAATTAACTATAGGCGTTTGCTCCTATACGGAATTTAAGAACCCAGATTAATCTAAACCCTAATTAATCTGTATATTAGATAGAAGAATTGGTCGGCTATAAATTTCGCAGACCAAAATAGAGACATAAACTTTTTAAGTTTAGATAGTTAAGTCTACCAATAAGTGATATGTTCATCCTTCAAGATGATATATCATTTATGGTATCGTGCTCAGTTGTTTAAACTATTAGATATATGAGGTCTACTCGGTCTCGTCATTTTCCAAAAATAAAAAAATACCATTTTCACAAAATTAAAATACTATTTTATATATATATATATATATATAAGCATATGTATACAACACAAATGTTGGAATGAAATACTAAACTAATTCTCTTCAATTCTTATTCCTTATATCTATCCTAGTTTTTATGTTCATTTTCAAAGTATTATTTAGCAATAGTTTGATTATTATTCAACTATTTTAATGTAAGTTTTGTATTTTGAAATAAGATATTTTATCAAAAATAGTGTCTAGAGTGATGAAATTTAAAAAATAGTGAAATAAAATACAGTGTATCATAGTTTTATAAAATTTTAAAGCCTTGTGAAAGCTTTAGGACCCGCATCTTTATTATGCCTTCGGGATTAAGGGTCTTACAGTGAAGATTTAGCACTCAATGGCTTGAAGAATAAGCATCAACAATTTGAAAATATATATCTTGTGTACAATTCCTACACTATCGGTCTACTCACCCTTATTTTTCCATTTCCATCTCAATTCCCCAATAGATCCCCTATCCCATCCCATACCTTACATCGCAAAACACTGCCAATTAGCCAAAACAATAAAAATGAACCATTCGAGTTAACATTGCACAAAGAGTTGTGTTATTGTCTTATTCTACATTCTTGTTTATGACTACCTGATGGTACTTTTGGAAAGTAAAACTAAGAATGCTCAAGCTTGAAGGAGTAAAAGCAGAAAAAAAATTAAACAGCAAAGCAAAAAACCCGAATCATTCCACCCAAAAAACCATAACAGAGAAAATTGTAATAAAAAAACCCTCCCACACCATACCGAAGAAAAAAAAGTTGGGAGAGACAAACCATTCGGGATGTCCTTGAGTATCTCCCCGGGACCCTGCAACATAAAACAAGAAAGAAACATGTTTCAGGAAAATCATTGATCAGGCTATAATGCACACATAGATACAGCAACAGCCACTTAACCCGCTGAATCTTGACAGCCTTAGCTGCTGACGTACTTGGCGATGCTGTCGCCGTGTACCTGACCACAGACTTCCTCTCTCTTGATGGCCTCTCCGAGGACGAAGCAGTCGGTGCCGCCTTTTTCTTCCTCCCCTCTTTCACATCCTTTTCCTCCCTTCCCCTCTTCTTGCCCCTCTTCTTCTGCGTCACCTGCTCCACACCTGGCGTTGACTCTTCCTCCGGCGGACCCGCCTCCTGGCCAGAGGCGGAAGACAGATCCTTGCTCGCATCCTGGTCAGATAATGCCATAGGGTCCCAGAAAAACCCTAGCAAGCTCCGTCTCGACGATGTGAAGAAAACAAAACCCTAGAACGGAAATCGGGGGAGATTCCTCCGGCTGAGCGTCGCCCGGATTCGAGCATGGAATTTAATTTAATTAGAGATTAGAGATGTCGCGCGGGCAGACGGAATTTGGAGCAGAATCAAGAAATGGGCTTTGAATGTGAAAAAAGAAAAAAAATATCGTTTTTTTTTTTTTTTGGGTATTTAGAAAATAAGGCATTTACATGCATACCACCCAATTCTTATTGATTCATACATTTAACATTTGAACTTCATTTTTTTACATTTATACCATCCAACTTTTTCATAACAAATCAAAGATACAATATTTTGTCTTTTTAATAAGAAAATTACAGTTTTTCATGAATAAGTAATACCATATAAATGTAAAAAATAGAAAATTGTCGGCCTGCCAAGATATTCAATCAGAGTTATGTAATCTCTGTAACTACGGTTAAATACGAAGAAATCGCACGAAGAAATCCCTGTAACACGAAGGATCAAAAATTTATGCCCACTAATAGCATTGCCCAACTCAGCATAATTCATACCACCACCGACGACACAAATAGCATTTTTCTATGGGGAAGAGGAGTTGTGCAAAACCATAAGGCATAAGAGGGATACCTGTGAAATTTCAAACAACTTTCGATCAACAACTTTCGATCCACCACTTTCGATCCACCACCTAAGGCCAGACGGGAATTGGGAGAGGGGAGGGATGCACTGGATCGAGGGCCGAGATCAAGGGAGTTTGATCGCAGAGCTAGGGCAATGGCGGAGACGGGATGGAGGGGCTGAGGAGTAATAATCTGTGAGTAAACGCGGAATGCGGGGTAATGGGAGGGGCGAACGAAAGAACGAACTATAACCTAAACCCTTACGTGTGTTCCCTGACCGCCGGCCCTAACGCATTAACCGAAGGCTACCCCGGCGTTCCGAAAACGTCGAACAAAGGAATAAGCTGCACTAAACGGACCCTTAGTAAGTGCATTGTAATTTTTAATGGGGTTGATGTGTAATTATAATGAACAATTCAGGACTTTTGCTTAAGCAAAAATTATCCTTTATATTCGGGGCTTCCAGCTCTCCTCAGATCTTGTTTCTTTGGAGGCATCTAGAGCTTCTGTTACAATATTTTTGTATATGGGGCTTTCAACGTCCATTATGGAGTAGTCAATTACTTTCCGATTTTGCATTTTGGCTCTGCCATATTTTCTTAACATAGCAGTGGAAATGTCTTAAGTGTAAATTCATGTTTAAATTGCTAATTTTAATTGATTCACAATTGAGCCCGTCTGATCGTGTTTCCCGAACGATCAGATCCATAGTTTTTAAGGACAAAGGAGCTTGAGATCATCTCCGCTCTATGTCAAGAATACATCATTTTCTCGTACGTGTGTATATGGTCAACTTTCTTGACAAATTTGCTACGTGTAATCGAATTTGCTTTCTTCAGTACCAAATCGTAGTCTTTGAATTGCTCTCTTTTACATACTCGGATATTATTCTCTTAGTCTCCTCCTACTTTAAAACATATTGAGATCACTATTTAAATAGATTGAGTGAGGTTTATATTCCATCCACGTTAGTTGCTTGTCATTTGCAGGACTCCCAACTCTTCAAAATTAGACATGGTGGCTACTCTTTATGATGCGGGAGCTTGCGATATGGAAAATCTGTGATTCACGATTGCAAAGTAATGTTGGATCTTATAATCTCGTGATCCAAAAATGACGATATTGTAGCTTCGAAGATCATAGGAAGGCAGCCGAGAGGAGTTTGCAATGTTGCCCAATTCAGCGAGATTTTATTCATTTGAAAGCTTATTTCCTTTTTCTTTAAGTATTATTTATACGTTTGTGTGTGATTTTTTTTTCATTTTGGAGGCAGGAACCTTTGCTATTGTGGTTGTGTTATGGAGACGTTGTGTTCTTTTCTATGCTCTTCGGATTGGTGCATATGTATTTTGCTAAGAAATAAGTGGTGGATTCTTCTTAAGGACTACTATTTTTAGTCCATACATCTGCCTAATGCGTCAAATTTGTTGTCCAGCAATAGATTTTGCCTCCTAACCCCTTCCAACATCAATATCTCATATTATCATTGCCTTGCTATTTCATAACCTCTTCTCTACTAAATATCTTTCCTAAACACATTATATGAGTCAAAGAATGATATTAATTGGTATCATAGTCAAATAAATCCTAAGTGTTTAAGGATTTGTCACTCCCATGCATACCCAAAAATGCACATAACAAAAATTATTGATCAACTCAGTATCTCAATCATTAGTTTTGGCCCTGAGTTTTTGAAATCCAGCACTCATACTATCACCAAAATTTCATTCTAACACCTAACACCAAAATGTAAGCCTCTAACCAACTTTGATTTGTAAACCTATATCCACTGAAAGTCTGATAGGAAGAAAAGAATGTCATGCTGCCAAAGAATAACTCTCAAAAGGTGTCCAGGAACTTACTATGGAAACATACAACAAAAAATTCTCCAACTATAACAGAGGCTCTTTGCCTTTTAAGTGGATCAATTCGATGAATTATCCTATCCGACGAGATGAGGCTACCAGTCGAAGCAGCAACGCTCAATCTTTTGCAGTTTGGGTTAAAGTTTCTCTGAACATGTTCACCATTTGTTCCTTCAATTTTTTAATATATTATATAATGAATTCTTTGATACAATCCATTTTGTTGGTAACTTCTATGCAGCTATTTTATTCTTATTGTATAGCTCTACTATTATTATTTGGCATGATATAGAATCACCCCACCTTTTAAGAATATTGACCTTCTTTTGCCCTTTGACTCAAATCTGGAAGATAGGGAGGAAATGAAAGACATTTTGATAAAATAAATGAAATACTGTTACATAGTTATTTCTCCCAATAAATTATTCAATAGTCCATTCCTTTTACATTAATTATATCCCTTTATATGGTCATATGTTCTCATATAAAATATACAATTGTGATAATTATACTCAAATCTCTATGGTTCTCTGGCTTCTTATACTTGTTGCATTTTGTCTCAGGCATATATACAATAACATCTATCTTATTTTGTCTAGTATCAGTGTCACATTTCATCTTTTATCATTTGCACATTTCGTTGAGTCACATCTCTTGGCCAATTCCACCCTCTGCTTTAGAATTCAGTCTGAGGCCAGTTTGCCTCTGGAGAGAATAATTTCTTGTGATATGGGATGACCGAGGATGACAAGGCAACATTTTGCTAGATGAAGAATCATCAAATGGATCCCGCTCAGATTCTCCTTACAATAAAGAAATTTATCACGTGGTCGCTCGTAGCTAACTATGTGTATTCAATAACTAGTACTCGACTATTCGTACTCAGGTGTTCCTTGAATAGGGTATTTGATGGATAAGATTGAAAAACCCAGACCCATAAACTGCCTATTTGGGCAATTGTTTCCCCGGGGTGTGGTTTCGTACCACAATTTGTAATGTTTTCTTACAGAAGTGCGATTGTGATATAATTAATTTTCTGCAAAACATGGGTTGCAGGTTCAACCCCGCAACCTGCATTCCTCGCTATTACTTTTCTTTTGTTGCCCTCCTTCCTTCTCTCGATGCACCTCTTGCCCTAAAAGTTTCTTCTCTCGAGCCCCTCGATTCCATGGCTATGATGGCTAGCTCTTGTTTCTGGTTTCCTTTCGGTTTGTTTCCTTTCGGTGTTTTCTAGTGATTTTTGCAGTGAGCTTCCACTCTCCTCTCTTTTCTTCTGTTCAATTTGTTGGTTTTGTGCAGTCTGTGCTTTGTGCGGTGCTTCCTCTTCTTTGGTTTCGGTCGGTTGTTCTTGTGAGCTTTCTATTCTCCCTCTCCTCTCTTTTGTTCAGCTTGGTTTGGTGATTTTGTGCATAGTGCGCTCTGTGTGTTGGTCCCTTTTCTTCTTCTCCCCATTATTCTAGTATTCTTTGTGTTATCTGTTAATTGGTTCTTGATTTTACGATTAGGTGCAATGGTTCAATTGTGTGGCTTTTGATTTTGCAATTTGGTGGATTCAGAGCTCTGTTTTTTAGTTTTAGTGGATGTTGGCTTTTCAATTTGATGGTTTACACGTGTTGAATGTAACCAAGAAGCTATTTTTCATAAGGCATGTTGTTTTCTTGTAGTGGTAGGTTTGTTGTTTTATATACTTAGCTCTCTGAGATCTCACGGCTGCATAAACCTTTAATTAATTTTTACTAGGTTATATCTAAGGGTATGTTTTTTAAGCCTTTATGAAAGATGAGCTCAAGAATTACTGATACATCCAGCTGATTCCACTACTACTGCGGATTACAATATTCCTTGCTTATTTTGAGGCATCCACATAGCCACGAGAGATAGTTTTATAGGTGCCCAAGGAGAATCATAGAAAACTGTGACTATTTTCGATGGGCAAATAAGCTGGAAGAATCCACCACCGAGAGTGATCTGACATGGAGAGTTTCTTTGGATGGTGGTTTATCTCATGACTTATGTTGTTTGTTTTTTAAAAATAATGTCATCGTATTATTAATTGTTATTTTAATAATCATTTTTTTAAATTTTGATAGTTATGTTATTCACAGTTTAGAAATGTGTCTATCTTTATTTTATAATGTTCTATGATGAATACTTGCTTTCAATTATGGAATGTATTGATATGTACAGTTTAGTTGCAAACAACATTACAATATAAAGACAAAACGATTAATTATCCAGAAACAGTTGCAGCACAACTGTTTTCAAACTGTAAAAAACAAAAAGACAGTCAGCTAATCCGCAATAACTTTCTGTCACAAATGTTGTGCAATAACTTTTTAATAAGTTGCAGTTGTTCCAAACAAACCCTAAATTTGTTTGGACTATTATTAGCAGAAATAGGTGTTTTCCGCAGTATAATTTTTTTTCTACAAAACAACACTTATAAGAAATTTAGATATTAACATTGTCGTCACTTACAGTGATGACAATGTGTTTGTCACCTTAAAAAATATATCTTATTTACTAATATGATTAGTTGAGCTCACCTGCAAGAAAATAAAATCGAAGGCCCCAAGTGGGAAAGAGGAACATCTAGAACGAAGAATATAATAAAGAACACAACATGGGAGGAGTATTAGCTTTAACCACATCATAACATTGTTATATTTAC